GGCCTTGAAGTTTTATCGATCTACCGTTAGTTTCATTCGATTTTTTTTTCAGGTAACATGAAAGTCTCAATAATGCAGGTTTCTTGTGACTTAACAGGAATTGCTTGGCGGTGTGCCATTTTAAAAACCCTGCGTCCTTCTACCTCCCCCATTCTCTCTCTCTCTCTCTCTCTGATGCAGTCATTCGCATGTGTACGCCCTACCGACTTTGCATCATCGACTTTTCTCTGCTGCTTCCTGCAATATGGTCTATTGTGCGTCGTTGCACTCTCAAACCGATATTGACGGTTTTGTATGTAGCCTCTCCTACCCCGTCGGTCCGTCTTTGCTTGCTGCTGCTGATGGGATCGCTTTTATCATAGCCATCTTTGCTACAGTGTGTGCATTTATTCTGCTTGCTGTTACTTAAAGCTGCGTCATCAAGGTATCGGTTGGGATGATTCCGGCGACACTTCTCTTGTCGGAATCGGTCGAAGGTGTGCGATGGATCAGAGAGGAAAACGAGTGATAGAGAGTGAAAGTGAGAAGAGAGACGAAGAGGAGGAACAAGAGGAATTAAGCGAGAGAGAGAGAGAGAAATCAATAAAATGGAAAGGAAGTAAAGAGCTCGAAAGAGCGGAAGAAAGATCAAGAAAGAAGTAAACAAGAAAAGAGAGAAGTGAAAGAAATAGAAAGACGACGAAAAGAAAGAAATAAAAAGGAGGGGGAAGAAATAATGAAGTCTTAGAAAGGAAGTAATGATACAGAAAGAACGTTAGGCGTAGAAAGAAAGATATAAAAAGGACGAAGACGATAAAGAAATATATATATATATATATATATATATATATATATATATATAGATAGATAGATAGATGGCAAGAGAGAAAGAGAGTGAGGAAAAATTATGTAGAAAGAAAGCTGATAAAATAAAGGGTGTGGAAGCAGTAGGGAGAATGGGTAAGAAAATGTAAGATAATCTCGAAGAAAGAAAGAAATAAGAGATAATGTGAGAGAGAGAGAGAGAGAGAGAGAGAGCTACAATAGTTCCAAGTATTAAGGGAATAAAAAAGAAAGAAAGAAAGAAAGAAAGAAAGAAAGGAACAAAGAAATAAAGAAAGGAAAAGAAAGAGAGAAAGAGTAGTGGAGAAATATGAGGAGGAAAGAGAAACCAAAAGTTTAGAGGAAGAATAAATAAGACAAGAGAGAGAGGAAGAGAGAGAGAGAGAGTTAAAAGATAAAGAAAAACAAAAGAAAACTTGAACGAACGAGAGGGTAGGGAGAAAAACGGTAAGAATGAATTAAAAAAAAAAAAGACGAAACTGGAGTGAAAGTGAATGTGAAGAATTTTTAAAGGGAAGATATGTGTTTAATACTATTGTTCCCCCCAATACAAGACCCCAAAGCCTCTTAAGTTCGAGGGTTGCTCAATAAGGTTGCCGTAAGTCCATAAGAAGTGCATATTATAGGAATATATAGAGTAGATAACGGTTGACACCAAACATGAACAGGTTAAAATGATAGAGATTGGGGAAGGGTCTTCGTGGAAGTTTATATTATGGGGTAAGAGTTCTGGGATGGAAAAAAAACCTCTCTGAATGGAACTTGCTTCCTTCCAATGGAATAGCGTGTAAGAGAAATAGAGAGAGAGAGGGGGGGAGGAAGAGGATTGGAATGAAATCAAAATAAAATAAGCAAAGAAGAACAGAACGCAAAAGTACAAGACAGAGTAAAACAGAAATTAGAAGAAATATGGAAAATATATATATATATATATATATATATATATAGAGAGAGAGAGAGAGAGTGAGAGAGGGTGAGATGGAGAGAGAGGGGGAGAGAGAGACGGGGTGAACTTTGAATGACTTCAAACTAAAGATAGTGATGAAGAATAGAAGGGAAAGTACTAGAGAGAGTAAAAAAAGAAATTCGAAGAGATATGGAAAAGAAGTGAGAGAGAAACAAAGAGAGATAGAGAGAGGGGGAAGAGAGAAAGCGCTTTGAATGACATTAGAATAAGATAGATCAGAACAGAAAATTACAAGTGAGAGTATAAAAGAAAGTAGAAGAGATATTAGAAATAGAGAGAGTGAAAGCGAAAGAGTGAGAGAGAAACATACAAAGAGAGAGAGAGAGAGAGAGGGGGGGAGATAAAGTACTTTGAATGACATTAGAATAAGATCGAGCAGAACGGAAAATTACTAGAGATAGTTAAAAAGAAATGAGACAGAGAGAGAGATAGAGGGAGAGAGAGAGACTTTTGATTGATTTTAAAATGAAGATATAAGATCAAAAAAGGTACAAGTGATAGCAAAATGAATTTAAGAGAGATATTTAAGTTATAGAGACCGAGAGAGCAACAAAAGACAGTTAGGAGAGAGGGAGTGAGAATGGAGAGAGATGAAAAGAGCTATTTGAATGATTTCCGGGTAATGAGAGGAAAGAAAAACAGATTATTTGAAGGTAACTCAAAAAGTTGCAAAGAGAGAATATCCAAATGTATTAGTATGTCATACGACGAAACACTGAAATAGAGTTGAAGTGATAAAGAAGGCGAAGGTATATTAAAGTCAAGTAAGAGTGAGGAAGACAAAGAAGCAGTTAGAGTCAAAAGGAAGGAAGAAAGAAAGAAAGAATGATAAAATGAAAATGGCAGCCGCTGAGAAGTATATTTGAGGGAAAAGAAGGTAAATGAGAGTATCCGAAAAAAGAAAGTAGAAAAATATAGAGAGAAACATATTGGGAGAGAAAGAGAGCTTAATTCCAAAAATAGAGAGAGCGGAAAACTGCCGGACAACGTACAGTCTTGATTCCTATGTTCGCGCCACACACACACACACACACACACACACACACACACACACACACACACACACACACTCTCTCTCTATCTAATTATATATAGAGAGAAAGGGATAGAGCGATAAAGTGTGAGATAAATAAAGCATAAAGTAATAGGAAAACATATATATATATATATATATATATATATATATATATAGACATTAATATAAAGACATTTTTATTTTTATACATTCTTTTAAAGATACAAATATTATAAACAGAGCATTTACTTAAATATTTGTATCTATAAAAAGAATGAATCAACATAAAAATGTTTAAAATAATTGTCGGACTTTGTCCATTTCATAATATATACATACATATATATATATATATATATATATATATATATATATATATATATATATATATATATATATATATTATTTATTTAACACGCTACATAAGAGGTTTCAAAAGTGTTTTTTAAAATAATAACAAAAAATACTAAAGAACTTTGGATTATTTACCTAACGAGTTCTTTCCTATTTTCTATATATTTTCATACACACACACACACACACACACACACACACACACACACACACATATATATATATATATATATATATATATATATATATATACCTTAGTATAGGATGGGTGCAGCTGGAATAAATTCCATTAAACGAAAACAATATTCTTAAAAGAGTGCTCAATCCAGAATAGGGCAAATATTATTTATTAAAAAAATTATTACATAAACATGTTATGACATCACTTCAAAAATAGCCATTTTGTTTCTTATCATGTGATGGTATTCAATCTAGAGCCTCGACTGTTGAAAACCAAAAATGGTTAGATGACCATTTTTGGTTCCCACCCGTCGAGATGCAGTCGTATCGAAACAAGTATGCATCTTTGTAGTGAGTAAGTTGTTTTTCTCCGTATGTAAATATTATAATAAATGATTATGGCTCTACTCTCGGTATTAAGCCCTCTTTTGAATTAATTCTGCAAACGTTAGAGATTATATTATTATTTCTCTCATTGCATTCATTTATATATATATATATATATATATATATTAGGTTGGTGCAAAAATAATGACGTAATAATGTCGTTTTTTGACGTTAAAAAATACATCAAAAACGACATTATTACGTCATTATTTTGCACAATCTAATATAATATATATATATATATATATATATATATATATAATAATGTAATAATGTTTTTTGCCGTTAAAAAATGCATCAAAAAACTACATTATTACGTCATTATTTTGCACCAACCTAATATAATATATGATAATAATATCATTAATTTAACAATACCAAACTTCGAAACTAAGAATTTCATGTAATAACAATTATCAGGCGAAACTAATATGGAACCAAACTATCATATAAATGATGGAAATGTAACTTCTCCCCGGATGTATATTTTTAATTAAATATTAGGTTGGTGCAAAAATAATGACGTAATAATGTCGTTTTTTAACTTATTTTTTAAAGTCAAAAAACGACATTATTACGTCATTATTTTCGCACCAACCTAATATTTGCTCTTATGTCGGTATGTATCGGTTCTCTTATTCAACAGGTGGGCACCCATTCCTTGTAGGAGAATGAAATTTTCAGTCAGGCACACTTTACTGCCTTTACCAGTTTCGTTAAATGGCCTGGATTTAGTCAGTACTTTCCATGTGTTGGAACGTCCTTCTTTCCGTCTGATAATGACGTTCCAATTAAAGTTAGAAAGAGCAGTGTTATCTTTGTGCCTACAGCTGCTCCAACTCATCTGTTGTTCGTAGTATAGTTTTTTTCAGTCACGATTAGCTGCACCTATGTCTTATATATAAAAGGATACGATGAATAAATTACGTAAGAAATAACACTGACATCTCATTTTAACAGAGATATTTACCAACATTTAACAAAAATATCGTGAAATACTAAAGAGTAAATTTAGTCAATAAAATCGCCATTGGCTTAAACTACGGCTTGCAGACGACTTCGGAATCTCTTGCAACTCTTCTGGTCAGTCTTCTTATTTAAGTGTATGCTGCCATAATCCTTGCCTTTACTTCATCTTTAGTGATACAAGGAATTTTTGTGGTCTTTCACTCAAATGCGTCCCATACATAAAAATGAAAGGGGTTGCGCCTGAGGAGTTAAGTAGCCAGGTGTAAGGGGTGATGTAGTTGCAGAAATTGTCTGACAGCCATGACTGGGTTCTCCTGCTCGTGTGTAATAGTGCAGAGTCCTCTTGACTCGAGGCAGCACTATCTCCTCAAGTTACTTAATTTAGGTTTCAGGGAGTTCTTTTCTGATCAGAACGAAGTGAATTTTCCCAGCTGCCCTAAGTTCGTAATCACCATTAGTATAATAAAACGCTTTCCGAAACCTCTGAACTGTCCTCATATTGACTTCCAAACACTCTGAAATATCCATACTGGAGCTTCCGACGCGATTTCCAAGCAGTACAGCATGCCGTTTCCAAATGTCTGGCGGAGTGAATTGCGTCATGGTGCTCTTTTTCTCACAGACGGTGTTCAACTTACTCTACCATACTGTAAAGTCGACAAAATCAAAAGCACACAACGCACATGCGCAAAATTAAAAACAGAAAATGGCGACAACTTACACATCGAACACTTTATATATATATATATATATATATATATATATATATATATATATACAGACAGCAAGAGCGAGTATGTATGAGAAAGAGAAGGAAATAAGCAGCTAGAAAGCAAACGATGGAAAAAGCAGAGAAAAATGAGAGTGATGAAGATAGATAAATATGTATATATATATATATATATATATATATAGAGAGAAAGAGAGAGAGAGAGTGATGAAGATAGATAAATATGTATATATATATAGAGAGAGAGAGAGGGAGAGAGAGGAAGAAATAATTTACTATAGAGTAATCTATACTGATAGAAAGAAGGATAAAAAACAGAAAGTGAAGATAATAAGCAGATGGGAGAGAGAGTCTCTGTGTGTGTGTGTGTATGGAAAATACGCACATAGAAAATAAGAGGGAAATAGAAGGACTAAGATACAGAGAAGTAAATAGATGAAGAGAAGTAAGCCGCGTCAGCAAAATTAAACGCGAGAAGTTGGAGGGTGGGGGGCGGCAGAACAAAAAAAAAACATTCATGGTATTTTTTCTTTCCACAGCCTGCCCTCTAAATAAATGGTGTGTTGGCATACAGGTAGGATTTTGGCTCGCATTGAATAAGATACCTCTTCGTCTCAACCCTCACGTACAGCATTCATTCATTTGACCCTGCTTTTTATTCTCTCTTTATCTCGCTTTTGAGCTTACTTTTCTGCCTCTTCTTAATTTCCAGTGGTGTGATATTGCGAGTCAGTCTTTTGACACCATATCCGAATGTGAAGAAGGAAAAAAATGACGATAGCAGCAAAATGCTTCAAGTTTCTGATTTCTAAGGTTTTTGCTCTTTCCAAAGCTACAGATTCGTCTTCTAATGGATTTTATCTTCAGCATCATTTGTTAAGGTTATAAACTCGACAAAACCTCCAATACGACATGTGTCCTTCATCTTAATACGTGTCTAGAGTTACAAGGCTAGTCAGGCACAAGTTATTCCCAGTGAGGATTAAAATCATACCATAGAAACTTTGAAAGATTTATTCTATCTCAGGCGTCCTGAAAGATTCCACTTGATAAATACTTAAAGAAAAAAAATATCTAATACGCCGAGATTACTCTGTGGACTGCAGAATTTAAGTGAATATCATTCCATTAAGAATAATTATTGAGAATTACATGTTAAATAGTCTCTTCACTAGACAGGGAATCATTTGGGTACGTTGAATGGTTAGAACGAATGCTTTCTGAACAGAAAACCCGGTTTCAAGTCCTGGCTTTGATGTTATAATTTTATTAGTGCTTTGATAAGTTGTTGAGTGCATGGCCGAGGAGTTAGGAAATTTTCTTTCTGGCCATGAGAGAGGGGTTCAAATCTCACCATGGTCGATTTGTCAGTGGTGTCCCGCAGCACAAGAAAGGCTATCCCAACGCGCGACACGTTTGGAAAGCACCTGAAAAGCATACCAAGAAAGACCAAATCATTCTGAACGAAATTGAATAGACAACCATTTGCAAAGTGTCGATGGTTGTGCTAACAGGAAGTCACCATTACCGTGGGCCCATACCAGATTACTTTCTCGCCCCAGTCACTGTAACTAAAGCTTGCTCAGCACATTTGCTGTATATTCACAAGCGGACTCTGTAGCAGATGTCTGGAATAATGTTTGGCTTGCCGCTGTGACAGACGTGTGTGCTCGGAAAAACGAATAGTAGTCGGCGATTAGGATATTTGAAAATTACAGTAAAAAAAGATAAAATGTATACGAAAGATGATCAAAAGTTATCGGCACTGATGCTATAAAAAGAAAACGGCAACATATATCAATTTGGCATTTAATCTCCTCTGAAGCAGTCCTCTTATGAAGCGACACATTTTATCCAGTGTCATTTTCAAGAAGAATTCTTGGAATATTGAAATTTAATTTGAGAATATATTTTACAAGTTCACATTCTCGCTATTTTTTTTTATCCTCACTCCAACGTATTTTCATGACTTTCAAAACCGGTTCCCAAAGCCTTGATTCTTATAAGAGATAAGAATATATTTCTGATTAACGAGAGAGCTGGAAAATATGAAAGGAAATTCCACCACCATTATTCTTTCTTTGGTGCCATAAAATCTGGAAGAAACCTCACAACTTGATCACTGCAATATGTTTTCATTACGTTCAAATCTGGTCCTAAACCTTGATTCTTATTAGAGATAAGAATATATTTTCTAACAAGAGATCTGGAAAATATAAAAAGAAATTCCACCACCATTATTCTTTCATGGTGCCAAAAGTCTGGGAGAAAGCTCAGAGCTTGTTCACTCCAA